AAATCTCGGGGCAAAAAAGGGTCTCCAATATTTTTTGCGGCCTTCGGCCGCAATAGTTTAATTCCCCTAAAACTCTGTCCCGGTACATCAAAAATTTGCCACATGTGCGGAACGTAGAATGGATTTCCAGGGATGTACAAGGTACCCCGGTTGTATACGGCGTCGCCCCCTCAACGGGGCTTGTGTGTTCGTATGTGGATGCAACTAATCACAACCAGTTTTTCTTCTCGGCGCGAGCCCGCCGAGTTGCCGACACCCTATTCAACACACATCTTACGACAAGCTACCCCTAGTTCGGATTATCCTAACACGACGACTTGGCGACAAGCATGTGTTTCTCGGCCTCTGCTACTGACGGCTCCCTATGATGTGTGGTCCTTGTTGTTATTGATGCGGCTCTTTCGTATCTGTGTGGCTCCCACAACCCCACAAGCAATCCAAGATCGCCTCCTTCCCGAAGCCTGTGGGACCTCTTGCTCACAAACACAGCCACGCCAACGGCAGTAACAGCTAATGCGCACGAGAGTAGAATGCTGCTCCTCCTGGCTTCACTCCCTGCCGTAACGTTGGCCTCCAATAATACGGCTCGAAGTTGCCATTCATTCTCGAAAAAACGCCATGAAACCTCGCAGCGCCGCATGGGTGGATGTACACATAAATTCAGACAGACGGCAGTTTCGCACAAACTCTTGCCGGAGCCGCGAGTTCAACTCTAACTACCGCGAGGCGCTGTAGCCTCCGCGAGAAGGCACGGAGGCCCTACTGTAACAACAGAGGACCGCACCAAAAGTTTGGCAGAAAGTACGATCGAAGGGGGTCTCTAACGACTCTCACACACAAGATACATATCTCGCTTGGACGTGCAGGCACGGTCGTTCTTGATTGAGTACACACGATGGGTGCTACTATTGATTTCCGCATGCGCGGATGGGTGGTGTGTGGTTGGTGACCCCGTACATGTAATCGGATTGGCACCTATATGTACCTCTTGGGGCATTCTGCGAACCACGTTCCCGCATGCATGTGTAGTACATCTTGGGAGATACATAGACTAAGTCGTTTACCCGAGCCCCAAGGTGATCCAACGCCTTGCAATAGTCACACTGCAAGATCTGATGACTGATGTATGTACCGTCGCATGCATGTGCCATTCGTCCTGTATGTAGAGTGAACAAAAAAATTGCTACGTGCAGCACACGGCCGCACCTGGGAGAGAGGGCTTCGGGGGTTGTCCCGGGGAAATTGTCGCCGACCTAGCAATCTTCTCGGGCGAATTCGAAAGCCTAGACTATACCCTCCAAAGCAGGCGTTCCCTCGTTTGGTCGTTACTTGTCAGCTCAGGAGCAGTTCCTCGCGTATATATCGGTTCTGTGATACCTCCAAAAATTACAGCTGCAGTTGGTGGTTTGGAATTATGTTCCGCTTCTGAGGTGGGCGGGCCGGGGGGAAAAATCAGGGTTCTAGCAAAGTCCGGAGTGGAGCATTCCTTGGGTCTTTCCAGGGTTGTCTGTTTTCGTCCCATCAACTCTGGGGCCTCACCTTGGAGCTCCAATCCTCCATGCAAACAGGATTGCGCATTCGTGCCGAGCAAAACTACGTGGAGGAGATAGTGCTTATCGAGGGAACCCTTGAGGAAATACGTTCTGGACCCTTGCGGTGCGAACGTGTACCGTAGAGGAATTCTGTGTGACCCAGGATCGAAACTCTTGTTCAGTTGCACAGAGAGACAAGAACAGAACGGCACGCAAAAACTGCGAGCGTTGCACGGACGATGTAAACTTACACACTTCAAAACGATACAAGGCCTCGGATTGGCAAAAAGCAACCACTGTAGGACATAACCTCTCTAGTCGTTTCGCTACGTACGGCGGTGATACGACGAACACCCATACTAACACAAACAACACGCGAAACGAAGATAGAAAAACAAACATCGAGCAAACAACGCACCCCACCGCGTGCCTACACCGTCACAAGCAGCGCGTATGGCCGAGGATCCACATTTCTGTGGTTCGCGCGCCTCGCACAGCCATACGCGGGGTAAAAACCACGCTGCAGCAAATAGGTGTGCTTCTATCTACAGAGTACTTAAGCAGGAAATACTACGCGCCAGAGAACGCTAGAATGTTGGTAGATCTTGAGTCGCTCCGATGATCCTGGCCGTCGGCGACTCCGGAGCTCTAATATGGCTTCTCGACATACTGGGACCGGGCGCGAGTATGGGTTTACTGTTCCTGCGGTGGGATATATAGGCCCGTTATCGTCGTTCGCTTAGAGTTGACGAGGTTCAGCCCTTGAAATTCCGCGGGCCTAGCTAGACTACAAAGCCTCGGCGTCAGACTGGTCCAGCACTGACTTTAACGCCACGTCAAACTCGGCAACAGACGGAGGCCCCGACTCTTGTACTTTCACAAAGTGGCGCGCGAAAGCGGCGCTCATCTGCTCAGCCACATTCCTGTCGGAGAAAGGGTGCGACGCACGTCGAGGGGGTGGGGACCCATCAGGGCAAGCATCCACAGCGGTCCCGTCAACCTGACACGCAAAAACATCTCGAGGAAGAATTTTCCAAGCTGGCGACAGGGAGCGACTTCATTCCCGATTCGAAAATTGTTGGCTTGAGGGAGGTGGGTATCCGAATACCAAGTGCTAATACCGCGGAAAAACGTAATGTGCATAGACAGGGAAATATCACCTCTTGCCACTGCAATGTGACATTGCCACTATTTCACTGGTTGAGCTTTGAAACGGCAGGCCGAGGGGTTGCCCACCCTCGCGGTACATTCACATACGCATATGCAAACCACGCTTGTTTGCATTCTTGCACAGCAGCGCCGATCAAAGATGAGAAATACCACAAGGCTTTTTTCTTGGCCCCTACGTTACCTTCCACAGCGAGCACCAGCGGCAACGTACCTGCAGTAGGGGTGGTCACATATGTCGGACATGCCTGTCCACTCCTCGAACGGCGGTGCTGGCGAGAGTCTTGCTGGACGCATGGGGTTGTAAGCCGCCCTCAACGCCTCGTATTGCTCTCGCCGGCGGGCATTGGCCAGCCCCCAAAGCTGTGTGTGAACGTTGTGCGACCTGGTCGAGAACGCGGTTTTTACAGGCGAGCGGTTGTTTTTGGACAAAAACGCTCAGAAAACGTGGGAGGGCAGACACGTTTTTGGGAAGACTAATGCTGCACGGAAGTCACTGAAGATGCCGTCCAATGGCCACACAGAGTTTCAGCGGGAACAGCACGATTCCGATACAAACAGAACAACTGTGGAGGACACCTGTCGAAACATATAATCAACCATTTGTGCACATACAAAGTGTAGGAAGATATGATTCCTCGGGGTAACTTGCCATCGGGAGAAGTGGCAAGTTAAGCACCGAGGAGATTTGTCTCTTCCGAAGTCCATGGCCGATGGCCTCTGTCTCCGACAGGGACCAGTAACGTCACAACCCTGCAACTAGATTCCCGATACATTTTTGGCAAAAAGGCCACGTCTGCACGTTTTGTCTGGTGGCAGTGATCCTTCCCCGGAACTTTCCTCCAAAGCTCGTAAAAATAGCACAGTATGCACTGGGAGCGCAGGCCTGAGGCTCGCCACGCGGTGGATGGCGCACGCGTGAGCCACCTTCGTAACGTCCCAGACGAAAGATTAAGGATGCGTCTTCGCACCCACGAGCCTGTACTAGACCTCACACCCCGCGCCAGGCGAACGTGGTCCACCGTAGTCTCAATTCTACCAAACAAGCAGACACTTAGGAAACGGCGGCAAGCAATTGCAGGAATAGCATCCAACTGCGAGATTCAGAAGGCGGTAGCAAAGCCTTTGGTACGTTGCACTTGCACCAGTATACCACCCACCGCTGCAAGCTGAAGGTTTCGCCTGCGTATGTCGAACGGTTACGACAAGCAACATCCGTGTACAGCTTGTGTGTGTCCAAAGCCGCTGTCATCATTTGACACTGTGATCTTCGTTCTCGAAATTCGGTGTCACACCTCACTATGAAACTACCTATCTGCCCACGAATTCGAGCAGGTCTCGCCCAGCGGTAGGAGTATGAAGGCGCGAGGAGGTGGGCTTGTATACTCCACTCGTCCACAGCCTTCCATCGCCTACTGTCAACAAAATGCCTCAAATTTGCGGCACGTCCTTCATGAAGCTAGCTCATCGACGGAGCGAGCGTTTGCTCCGCTCGACGCTACCCTCTGGTCCTGGGCCAGCAGACTCACAGAGAGTTGTAGCGACACAGGCCCGGGTAGCGCAGCAACGCACTCACGCTCCGGTGGAACGACCCCACCGATGCGGCGATTTCGTTGTCGAGGGCCTGGAGGAAGCAGAGATTCCTGCTCACGGGCGCATTCGACCACACCACACACGGTGCAAGGCGGATTGTGTTCGGCGTCAGGAAAAGGTGCCCGGGGGGGTAACATCCGTTCGAGTGCCCTGCGGACAGGCAGGTTCTCGATGCCCCTCCCACTCAATCTAAAATGCCTTCACTGGTTGCTGACAAGGGGATAGATGGGCGCGACGGAAGCACAGACTTGCAATGGCGAATGATTACACAGACACACACACCGTCGATGCTAATACTAAAAAAAAAACACACACACACACACACGGGCGCCTCCGTCTGGTCAAGCAAGGACAAACACCCAGAACTTCTCAAACCACCGAACAGAACTGCAGGAAGACAATCTCCGTTGGCCATCGAGCACATTCGTGACATCCTCGTGTCGTATGCATCCATATACACTTGAAACACTAGGCGATGGCTGCCTCAAAACACCAGCTCACCCGTAGTACAGCAGACTACCGAGCCCCGACTGCATCTTGGCACTATCCGCCGCCATCAATTGTCGGTATGTGGCAGACCGGCGAGCGAGGAGGCGAGAGGCACAAACAAACGCGAGAAAGGGCGGTAGGAGAGAGAGAGACTCTTTGAACGGGAATAAGGTGTAGGCCCCATCGCATCATCGGTGCCTTCCTTACACCCACGGAGCTCCCCCAGCACCAGGTGGCCCCAACGAACGCCCTGGTTTCAACTCCACCACGCGCAACACTCGAACTGCTCAGGGTGTATAGCGGTCGCCGCTCGCCGTGATCGGGCCTTCAGAGAGCACCCACGCAACCAAGCAAGGGGGAGGCTACACGCAGCGTCGAGACGTCACACGTTTCGATTGGAGGGAGTGGCCTAGAACGGCCTACCGGCTGTGCGTCCACAACGCGTGCACCAACAAAGCACGTGCCCGCATATCATTCTGCCTCACCGCGAAAGAAAGCTATTCGCGCGCAGCAGTTCCGGCATCGCCTCCTTCATCCCCAGAAAGGGATCGGTGGGGTGGGGCGGAGCGAGACCCCCTTCCTTTGTCGGCAGAGGCGCATCCACGAACCCTCCCATCTTCCCCTCCGCATCGTCCGCCTCTCCATACGTGAGCGGCGACGGCCTCGAGGCCGCCCCCGCGGTGGCGTCGGACGAACGTTGTAGTCCCTCGGCAGCGGGTGTCCCCGGGGCGTCCGCGAGGACGAGTTGATCAACGCGGGTATCGACAGCAAGGACGAGGCCACAGATGTCCTGTTCCACGACCTTCTCTGGCAGCTACACGATCACCGGGTGCAACAGCGGATGGAGGAACGCCGGCGGAGGCGTTGGGAGAGAAGGATCCACTCGGAACAACAGGAGGAGCGCTCCCTTCCAATTATCGTGCTAAAACACAAATCACTCCGGTCCACGATGCCGAGCATTCACAGAGGAAATAGACTGGGGAATGTTAATGTTTCCGGTTGAGTGCTCGTGCACGAGTTTCGTCGGCAACATCACAGCCTCTTCTTCTTCGAACTCACCTTCCAAATGGGCGCCACGCTCTGCCAGTAGGCATCTATGTCCTTCTTCGAGGCGAGGCCTACCTCGAACACCCAAGACTTCCCGGCGTACCTCAGCAGGTCGTACACTCCCTGCGGCGTGCGGCGCGATCGTGCAGAGGCATTGGCGACATAACGTCTAGCGAATGTTTCACGCCAAGAACTCGCCGAGAAAGACAACAACGCACCGCACCGCGCGCCACGCACCCCGCGTAGGCAACACGCGGGCCCAGAGACCTCTAGGGTCGTGTGAGAGAGCCGGACCACTACCAGCTGAAAGCCAACGCCAAAGGCGGACGCCCCCACCAACGGGTTAATACTCCCACGGACCCCCCCCCCAATGGTCTCTCCGTCAACACACGCCTAGAATACAAATGCATGAATACCTGGCTCATGAATCTCGCGGAACATGGGCAAAAGAAGCATGCGCCCTGTCGTATACCCGAATGGTACTTTGTCCTCCCTCCAAAAGCCAGCTTGCGGTTCGGAGGCAAGGTTGATCTCAAGGCCAAAATTACCGCCGCCCCGTTCGGACATTGAGCGACAAGAAAGGAGTGGAAACGCTACAACTAGGAAACACTGCGCTTGCCCGTTCTACATGACAGAAAATGCTGAACGAATCTCACCAACGTGACTTGCACCGGAGGCAGCGCACTCACGATGCTGTTCGCGAGCTCCACGTATCGGTGGTTGTTGACCTGAGAGTTCACATTATTTAGGCGTGTTCGGAGCAGGGGGGGGCGGGGGGAACATACATGACACGATGATACTAACCCCGTGCCAACACGGCAGCGGACGAATCGCTGGTCCCGCCACAAGAAATCGTGGCTAAAAGGCTCAAAGGACAGAAATCCGAGGGGCCCTGTGGACGTGCTCAGAACCAGAAATGCCGATCAAAAAAAAAAACGAGCATGGAGATAGATACTGATTGCGCGGTCGTTTCACCGTGGATTCTATAGAAATCGCACTATCATATCGGCTTCGACGCAGCCAGGGGTTCAAAGGTCAAGGGCAAGACCATTCGAGGCCCGCGCGCGCCCATCTCACACCCAAACGGGATATCGTGCGGTACATACATGTGTTCGGGCCGTAAGGAAGCAGGAGTGACTTCACCGACGACAGCGACTACGGTACATGGCGGCGCCCGTCATGGACGATAGGTCACCGCTGTGTGAAGAACAGGAACCCACCTGATCGCCAAGGAAGTTGTGCACGAAGGCCATGGCGAGGTTGGCCCTGCGTCCCAAAAACGAAAACAACGATGGGTGGAAATCGGTTGCGATATCGACTGAAATGTACTGGCAGCACGGGCACAGCTGCCGAGCAAATGTACCGACAGCGAGGTTGGCCATCCTCCTTCAAGTCTTCGCAGGCGCTGAGTTGGTGAGAACATGGAGGTGCCAGATGTAGCGCTCAATCATGCAACACCAAACTTTCGCTACAGCTCCTACCTGGCCATGTCGAGTGCAGCGCTAGCTGAACAGGACGCTAGCGTATCCTTCGCTAGATGGACGTACCGCTGCACCTGTTGTTTCGCGATTGAGGACGGTCATGCGTAGTTCCTTGGAGCACAGGCCAAGAAAAACGGGTGTCGGCAGACGTGTAGCGCTCTTGTTCCTTCTGCTACAACATGACTCAAAATGAATTCTAGACGGATTCTTAGCTTAGCTAGCCAAAGCGAGAACGGTGCCCAGCACTGGCACGACATGCCTGCTGCACCCTGCTTTAGCCACCAAAGAGCGGCCTTCGTTTCCACCCACATGTGGCAAAGGGTACCCCCGCACGAGAGCACCGAGGGCGATCGCGCACCACAGGATACACGTAGAGGCATCTCGCGGCAACGCTGCATCCTCGGTCGTCACCGCATTGCGCCAGCACGCCTCCTCTGTCCGGACGCTGCTTACGGGGGTCTCTTCGGTATCGTCCTCCTCGACCAGCCAGCCCCCCGCGGCAGCACGCGGAGGCCGAGCCGGTGTTGTTGCCCCTTGTTGAATCAGCACGTTGTTGGCCCGCATCACACTCACCATCGCACCGCGGATGATGCTGTCGAGAAGGACCGAACGAACGCTGGGAGGGTTGAGTGCGGAGAAACCACACTCACTTTGTAGGGGAAGAGAACAAAATACACCAATTACTCCGGTCTCGGGGAACGAGGCTATTGCGATACGCGACATTCGCGGCAATAACACAAACTACGGTGGGCACTGGCCAGGTGGAATCGCCGCCGTCATCGTAGGTGGAACAGTGCTTCCGCGGCGTGCTACCAAGAGTCGCTGCGAAACCACAAAGCTTCTTGTTGTGCAAAATGTCCACAACTTGCCCATACCCCGGCGAGTCGAACAAATGACCCCGAAGAAATCCTCATCGATTCGCGAACTACGAGTAAGCAACGCGACAAATACATTGTCGTCGTCGACTCGAAAAACGCATTCGCCAATGGTCCCATTATGCGGGCTGCGAGACTTCTGAGGCCGGCCGTGAGACCGGTGGAAGGTTCCTCAGCGAGAACGGCAGCTATTTGGCCGACGCGATCCTTCCTCTACGACAAATGATCGTGTCTACAATACAATCGGCACAAACCTCTCGGTGGCAAGGGACAAGAAGCCCAAGCAACCGAAAAAGTCCCCCAAGAGTTCGTTCTCAAGCAGGCCTGCCAGCCCAGTCGCCGGGGAAGCGCTGAGCCGGGCCCTGAGAGAGAAGGAGCGTTCAAACAGGAGACAAGAATGCGGCACCGGGCGGGGGGGGGGAAATGTCGGGGAAAAGGAAAGGCTGGTACCCCGCGTGGTCCAGAGGCTTCTTTTTTTCTGTCCGGCAATCTTGAAGTGGACATAGCAAGTACGTGCAAACACATCGTGCGGATACTGCTTGGAAATTGTTGTGGTTACCGCTCTTGCTCTCAAGAAATGCGTGCACGCCGGCCGGATCGTTACCGATCCTGCTTTCGAGAAAATACATGCACGCCGGCCGGATCATCTTCAACATGTCGCGTGTGCTTCACTCTGCACCTCTTGAATGGAAGCACCAAGCCCGTGACCCCAACAGCCGTCCCTGACCCCTTCTTCTTCGCCGTGTGTTGTGCCCCAGTATCGGCGTTGGCGTCGTTGTCCACCTCCGCCCGGGCCCGGAGGCTTAGACCTGGGGACGGCGAATCGTCTCGAACGGCGTCCTCCTCACCGGAGGTTGGAACAACGGTCGGGGTCTTGCTCTTGCTCGGGAGGGACCTCATGCTGTAGTGACACTCCGGCCGCCCTTTTTCGATGCAAAAACTGCCGCCGAAAGCGCGAGTGAGTGGCAGAGGCGCCGACACTTGCGAAGTGAGGCCGGGAACCACGTGGGCGCGCGCCCGTGACGCTATAGCCTAAAAAATCAGGAACGATCTACGCGTATGTGACATGAACGCTCCCTCTTGAAAGGCCGGAAAAAAACACAGGGACGTTTTTGGAAGGAGGGCGTGAAAAAAAGCCACCTACAGGTGTGGCCGCAGTTTGTTGCCATCGTGCGTGTCGGCACGGAAGTCTGCTGAGCCTGTCAGCATAACGTGTCCGCTCCGAGTAGAGATAGATGAGACAGACGATGATAAACGACAACTCGGTATTTCTTCCTGGCAGACATGACAAATTTAGAAATACAAAATCGATCAAACAGACTAGTAGGCAAAGAGCGAAGTGTAGCTGCTTGTCAGGTCAAAACCCCATCCGTTTGTGTTGACCTTGAAACAGGACGCGAAAGAGTGTGCCAGGTCAACCTTGAGGTGATTATTTCAGGGAACTCGAAGTGTGACCTTGAAACAGGGCGCGAAAGAGTGCGCCAGGTCAACTTTTGAGGTGATCATTTCAGGGAACTCGAGATCCGACAAGATTTTGATAACGAAGCTGGGAGTAAATAGACTGCTGTGCAGGCATTGATATCTACGCGGTCCGAGACAAGCCGATGTGTACGGCAAGTACCTCGTTTTGGTTCCCTCCATCGCGTTGGAAGAGGCCGGTATTTCGGCCCTGTTCTTGCTGGGATGGAGGCAGAAGAACAGCGTAGTACGATAAAAATGCCTTCGCCGCTCCACGGCTCATTCTAACTCAAACGATGCGTGTTCAGAAGCTCTCGACGAGACGGTTTTCCAACGCCGCCATTTCCGGCACTTTCAGTCTGTCTTGTCGGCAAAATCGAAGTTAAAAATCAGAATCGAGTTTCAGTTTAAGACTAGAAAGAGCCAGCGTCCATCTGCTTTGACTGGTTGGAATGCGTTCTTTCGAGATAAGCGAACGCATCTTCCTGTTCTTAAACTTGATCTCGAAAAAATGTCCAGAGGATTAATTTGGAGTCGACTTTGCCAAACTCAACCAACTTCGGGTGGACGTTGGGCTGTTGGGAGCTTGCTGCGGCGGCTGACGTTTCTCATCTCGCACGCTGCGCGCCCACGTGCGCGCGGATTGCACACGCTACACCACACACGCCCACCAAGCAAGCAGAAAGATGATGTCACAGAAGGCGAACGGCGACGGCAGGTTCAACTTGTTGCCGATTTGCCAAGGGCGTGCGCCGAGCAATGGAGTCGGGATTCATGTGCCACCGGTGCCATCGGTGGGTTGGGGTACATCACCAGCTCCAGGAGCTGCCTCATACGATTCTTTGTTTTCCCGCGCTGCCACGAGCGGCTGCCCGCACGGCGGGGAGGAGAGCGAGCCATGATTGTGCGAGTGCTGTGCGAAAGGACAAACCGTCGCCCGCAGGTCGCCCATGCCGCTTGTCGGGACTGTTGGGCTGTTCGGCGTCCGTTCGGGCGTGTTCTCGATTTGAACCTCAGTTTAGGCCTTTGCCCCATCGGCCGTTTTATTTTCGATTCAGATACACAAACTTTATTTCGATACTAATTTCAAGTAATCTCACCTTCTTATTCTCCGTCATACAAACAAAACGGCCGATGGAGCAAAGGTCCAACCTCATTTTTGCTGATTTTTCGATAAGACGAGTATGTCGAATTTGGCTGGCTCTTTCTAGACATAAACTGAAACTCGATTCTGATGTTTAGTTTCCATTCTACCGATAAGACACACCCTCACACTTGCTGCTCTGATGTGGAATAAATAATCCAATCTTTGGAAACCAGTGGTCTCGCGTGTACACGGCAGTTCGAAAGCGTTCTATTCATCGGGGTAAATTAACACTCGGTATCTGGGTGTGTGGAAATTGTGTATGCACACCGGTAGTTTCTCAAGATTCCTGTCAACCATTCGTCCCTTTCGACCAAGTCGCGTACCTGTGTAAGGAACTTCTCGAATGAGGAAAAGAGCGTCAACGTCTCGCGTGATGTCACCGGCAAAACGCATATTCGAGACAACCAGCAACCACGAATTCAAGTGTGCCGCGACACTTGCGCATGCGCCAAAGCCTCGTGCACTTGACATATGTACATGTAGAAGAGGTGCACGGTCTTCTCAGCTCACCTGCATCGCCTCTGGGCACGCCCGTCACATCTCTTCCTACGCTTGAAGCAAAAGTCGCAGCTTTTCTTGAGCACAATAGTTTGGGGATGGCGGCGTCGTTCCTTGGAGGGAACATTCCCAGTTGAAGAAGGCCCTCTCTCTGCTGGCTTATTCATGGGGTGATGTTGTCGGTGACGTGTCTCTGGCTTGTTCATGGGGGTGTTGTCGGTGACGGTGCCTCGTCCTTGTGCCTTGTGTAAGGCTTGGTTTCTCCGGCACATCGCTGCCGAGGTCACTCTCTGCGCTGCTGCTCCCCTCTGGTGTGGTCGTTGCACATTTACATGTTGTGTGCCTGTTGCCTCGTGCCACCTGCCTGGCACTCGATATTTTTTTTACTTTAAATTCGTTTTGCGCCGACTCTATAATATTCTTTTCCGGAGAGGTGGAAGGGACTGTTCATTATGTATATATTTATGTAGAGACCTGCTTCCCCTCGCTCCTCGACAAGCTTTTGCGTAGACACGGGTTGTAGCGAAGGGGGGGGTCTTTCTGGCGAGCAGGGCTAGACTCACCCTCAAGGGATGACCGAANCACATTCTGACAGCACTTCAGACAGCAGCTTTGTGCCCCGCCAGCTGCTTGTTCCATGCCTACCATGGTGTTTTTGTACAGACAGCACTTCAGACAGCATTATGCTGTAGTCGGCAATCTTCCGTTTTGGTATAGAGTGGGACAGGGAGGGGGTGATGCTACTATAGTCGAACGGTGGGACGGACGTGCAGTTCAGTTTTTGGGCACGCATACGGTGCTGCAGGGATTTTTAGGTGTACCTCTTCGGGCTCTTGCATACATTTTTCTCGTCAGATGTGTGCGTGTTCTTTAGATCCTCAGATGGCTCTAGCACTTTCGTGACCACGGGCTGAGAGTCTTTTGCTAGATTTCGGCATTTAGCAACTGACATACGGTTTAATGTGAAGACAAACAACAACAACAACAACAAACAGAGACCCCCTGCTGCGTACATACCGTGCCATGTTTCCCCGCCTCGCGGCGCATGCCGGTTCCTGTGCTGAAGGGAGTGCAATGCCGTGAGCGAGCTGCGGACGGCGGACGACGTCGTTCTGTGAGGATATCCGTCTATCTATGTTCTCCCGTGGAACATCCACGAAAGAAATATAATGGTGGTGCATGTACGCGAGGCTGCTGTAGGTAATCAAGAGCACAACGATCTTTCACGTTTGATGTTAGGTGCGGCCGGACGGAGACTTCTTAACTCCCCTGGAAGAGACATGTTGTTCTTTGTGTTGTTGTTGTTGTTGTTGTTGTTGTTGTTGTTGTTGTTGTTGTTGTTGTTGTTGTTGTTGTTGTTGTTGTTGTTAACTGTTGTTGTTTTCACGTAAAAAATGTAGCGTTCAGAAGGAAAGCGTTGTTTGTGGAAGGCGTTTGTTGAATTCGAAAGAAAGCAGGGGACGGG